CGTCACGTGTGACGTAATTATGGGAAAAGTCCCATAATGCAACGCGCGGTTACGCCGACGGCGACGCGGACGGCGACGCCGCTCAAGCCGGAAGCCAGAGCCTGAGAGCAGCGCTCTCAAATGAAAGACTTTTACATTCCCCTGTAACGCCGAATTAGAGCGCAGCTTTTGAGGAGGAGGAGGTGAAGGTACGGACAGGAGGGTATGCCAATCCTCCTCATCCGTACCCTCCCCTCCATCTCTCCTGCTCCCATCCCATTTATCGGGAAGTTTTCGTTGAATTGAGAGGGGAAAGTTTTCCGCTAAATTTAACGGGGAATTTTTTTTCTGCTAAGTCTAGTGGGAAAAAATTTCGCCAAATTTTGCAGGGAAATTTAGCCATAATGCAACGCGCGGTTACGTCACGAGTGACGTCACTCGTGACCCTTGTGACGTAACGTGTGACGTCAGTATGGAAATCGACCCATAATGCAACCCGCGGTTACGCCGACGGCGACGCCGCTCAAGCTAGAAACTGAACCGTCGACTGGGCGTTGTCTTCTTGATCTCCTAGCGGATGTAGACGCTGCTACTGAGCATGCGCACCGCTAGCTTTGTCCGCAGAATACCAGGAATCATTTCCGGCCGGCGAGACCTAGAGGGATGGTGGTTGCGGTTGCAGCTTTCGTTTTCTTGTCAGCCTACAGGTGAATGGAGTTCACGTACATTTTTTTTTCTTTAATACAATATTTCCTTTTTACGAAGACTACGATAATACGAGCGTGTGAGAAATGAAATGTAGTGGTTGCACAACATTTTCGGAAACAACGAGATTCTTTTAATTATTTTTTGATAAGTGTACGGGAAAGGTAACTTGAAAGCAATTAGTAATGTAACGAAAAAAATAATCAGTTACTTTCCAGCGAAGGTAATTTGTTACGCTAATTTATTACATTTGAGGGACGGTGGTTTTTAATAATAATCCATTACATTTTGCAAGTAACGGTCACAAATCTGACTAACCTATTTTTCTAAGGCACTCTAGACAGCCCGCAAAAATCGATTTTAAACTTATGCGCTGCGATTTACTACACAGGGCGCAACCATATGATGGAAGTTTACAGTGACCAAATTGAGGAATGAGCCTACGTTGTTCAAAAGAAAAACGAAACAAAAACCTGTTTTGGGCAGTCAAAGCCGTCACTTCGTAGATGATGTACGCGTAGAGAGAAGTGCTACTCAGTGCCGACAGACGGCGTACGCCGCGTTGAGGGAGCGCACGCCGAGTCGGGTTGATTGCAGACGATCCCGCGAAACAACCCGAATGGGCAAACACCATCTGTCGGCAGTATTTCCCTCTACGCGCGCATCGTCTGCAAAGTGGCGGCATAGATTGCTCAGAACAAGGTTTCTGCTTTACTTCTTTTTAACAAAGTCATTTTCTTCCTTTATGTTTTAATTGTAAACGTTCACCCCCTACTTGCACCTGTGTAGTACATTTCAGCGCGATGCGCAGAGAAACTAATTTTTAAGGACCGTCTGAATTATCCTAAAAGCGTTTGTTTACATACTGCAGTGAGAGCCCAATCAGCAAAATCGTTATTAAAACGGCGGAAAGAGGCATATAGGCCAAGAAATTTGCATACTTCTTTTACATCAGTAGGTCGAGGGAACCGGGTGATAGCTATTGATTTCTCTGGATAATGGTTGATGTCGTAAGCATTGACAGTGTTAGCCAAGATTTAGATTTAGTGATCAGTGAAAGAGCACTTCTTTTAAATTTGTATAGACTGCTATTTTAGTGCACTTAATGACTGGCTCTAACCAAGTGAAGTGTTTATTCAATGTTCTGTGAGAAATAGCTACACCGTCTAAACAACAAATTTATGTTTGCCATTTCAGCACCGCAGCAAGGAATCCATCGTTTTACAGAATGTGTCTGGGACGTTAAACAAACCAAAAGCCAGTACCTCAAACCTGTAGGGTGCCTGGGGAGTAATAAAATAATTATTTTCGCGATGTCCGCTCTTCTACTGATATGTACCAATATCTCGAGAACACAATTAAAGAAAGTAATCTAGAGCTTCGCATTCAATTGGAAGCGTCGGCTCTTCGTAAGAGAGGGCATTAATTTGTTATGCCTTCATTCAGCCATCGATAGATCACACAAAGCCTCCCGGAGCCATCTTTATTTTTGTTAAAACTACGCGCGCTGACGAAAAGCTAGAGGAAGGTGAAATAATATTTTTGGGGGCACGTCTCCACCGTGCTGGTCAATTAACTATACGTTCAGGACAAATACATTTCGCCTGAAGCGAACTAGCCGATTATCGCAGGAGTTAAAGCGGTGGTTGACAGACGTGGCAAAAGATAAAGGCTTATTCTTGAGGTAGCAAAATCGCATGTGCCTCTTTTATAGACTCAAATATTGATATTGTCGTCCCTTTGACAAATATAAATTATATATAAACAACAAACCCGGCACCCTCCTCAGACGGATGACATGTGGTAAGGGTAAGTATTGAGGACCTGTGTTGAAGGTAGTGCAAGAGGGGACAGCCGGTGAAAACGAGCGAAATATTATGGGTCTTCAACGCTGAATTTGCTATGATATATGCGCAACTGGAATTTCGGTAAAACCTCTATTTCTTAAAGAATGAAAGAAAGAATAAAAACACTTAGGGTCATGTTCAGTCTGTACAATTCTTTCAACTAGCACCGCAGAGTTACTGATATCTCTTTCATTACGCACATTCTCCCTCCCAAAATATTGAACTGGAGAAGATACATAAAAAACACCTGGTAAAATAATACCCCAAAAGAAAGAAATTAAAAACATTATTGACAAATTTAGAAAGATGAGCTCACTAACTAGTTAAATTCTAGCTTCTTGTTGTTGATCTTAGTCTTAGATAACCGAAGGAGCGGCGATGTTTTGTTCGTCACCACCTATCCTATAGGCTTGAATAATCTCTCGGTTCAAGCTTTTCATTCTGGTTCCCAATTATGCTGCTGTCCTTGCAAGGTGCAAGGAGTTCTACAATTCGTACAAAGGCGTTTGTGCAACCCAATTGGATAAAAAGATTAATTTGAAGAAATAAAAATCACGAGGATGTGCTCTCTTCAGCGGGTGTTAAGGCAGTGAACTGTCTGACCGATGTATCGGTCACTACATGGAAAATGATCGAGTTTACCACCCGCTCTTAACTGCGAACGGTCGGGTTGGCATGATTGATTTCACGTGCTCTGCGTGTTACATATTTAACTCTTGTGCAAAGCTAGTTTAATAAACTGTGCTGTCTGTCCTTGTCCCTAAGTGTTTTTATACTTTCTTTTATTCTTGTATTTTCGCGAACACGCTCTTTGTTCTGTCTTTTGTCTATGACAGTAGTGTAAAATTTGGGGTTAGCCATTTTTGTAGCAACACGCAAAGACACGGTTCAATATAAACACATGTCAGCTGCTGGTTAGAACAACAGTTCTTTTAAACTTTAGAAACACCGACGTCAGTGGTCAAGTCACATGTCCGTAAGCCGCGCGTAACTTTGTTACAGCCGACAGGATGTTCGCGCCACAGTGAGGGTGTGCGCCTGCCTGGATGTACTGCATGCCACTGTCGCAATCAACGAGAGGGCGATAAGAAGCTTCATCGTAACATCAATTATCTACTGCATTGTTCGACACCAATAAAGCAGAAGCAGCTAGCTAGAAAAACCTCGATATGGGTGTGGTCTTGAAAGCCAGGTTCATATCCGTTACACTTATGCTGATCACGATGTAGAAAACCCGAGACTGTGGTAAAAGCAGCGAAACTGTGTCGAAGAAGAAAGACAGGGGAAAAGAACGCCTCAAACTCAGCTACTGCGTTTATTTCCTCAATGCCTTATATACCCACAACCTAACCACCGACCACCGACGTCACAAAGTCAAACTTTGTTATCTATAAAATCCTACCCACACCGTAAACGGTGACCTCAATCCCAAACCGACAGCTTAGGACCTTGAACAGAACAAACAAAACAAACACACGGACCCACTTCCTTTCCAGCCGGAGTCTGGAAAGGCTGTGCTTTATCTAAACGAGAACTGATATGACCTCCAACTGAACCCCTGCCCGGAAAATGATTAATTCCACGTTCACTTACAACTATTACAAAAAAAAAAAAAAAAATAAAAAGAAACTTTAGATTTTAAGAAACTTCTTGGAACTACTTCAGAGTTGCATCGAAGCATGGCTGATACAATTACAATTACGAACTGTCTCTCTTATGAGCCTCTTAGTGTTGTTGCGTTCTCTGTGCACAATGTCAGTTTGCGACCAATGTGCCGTACAATCGTTACACCCACTAATGTGTTTAGCAATCTCTTAATTGGGTGCGTTTATTTTTACATTTCTTTTGTGCTCTACCAATCTTTCATTTAAACACCTTGCCGTTTGTCTCACATTCTTGAAACCGCATTTCAGTGGTATTTCACAGACCACCCCTTCCTCGCAATCAGCCAGCTTACCACGGTGCGCTTTCTGACACACTTTCTGACTCGTCTGAAGCGGTGTCAAATGGTTTAGCTTCAAATCGGACTTAAACGCTACATCTATCCCAAATTTTTTTGCGCATGCTTTAAGGTTATGAGAAACTGCGTGAAAATACGAAATAACCGCGTAATGGTTGTGGCTATATAAGGCATCGAGAAAATTAACGCAGTAGCTGAGTTTGAGACGTTCTTTTCCCCTGTCTTTCTTCTTTGACACCGTTTCCCTGCCTTTACCACAGTCTCGGGTTTTCTAAATCATGATCAACATCCACCAGCTCGACTGCGCACTGACTGTTTTTTTGAACTTATGTTGTTGTAAGGGAATGTAGAAAGTTTTCAAGTTCCAAGAAACTTATCAAATATTTTTATTTTTATTTTTAATGTCTAAGAACACATCGGAAACAAGGTTCAGATGTCTTATGCATGCCATTGTGACGTCTGCTTTGTAAGAATATATTGCTAGTGATTTCTTTACAAAAACAAGTGGAAAATGTAGTATGCATTTTTTATTCAACACAGAATAGCATAATATTAAAATGTCATGGTTTTAACAACTTTACAGGAGAAGCTCTGCTTAAGGTTGATGGGACAGTATAAGCTCAAGAAATATAAAAATGCCGTCGTTTAAAATTTTACAGAAGGAATAAAGTTTAACAAGTCTTGCAAAGTGACACATTTCACATTGCATTTAACCTGTCTTATAACTTGGCTTTGTCTCAATCAACACGGCTTAGATGGCGGCATGTGTGGCGCATTTTTGCGTATTTTATGCAGAGCTCAGCATGCAATATAGTACAGCATTGGTAAATCTCTTGTCTTGGGCAAATTTTAGTTTGGAGTTTAATGTCTTTGATTTCTAAAAAGAAACACGTGCACAATATTAAGTACTTGCCTAACGATCAGCTACCAGACTATCCCACATGCTCGACAGGAGTAAAAGGAAGTAAACATTTCACTTCTAAAAAAGTATGTAAAAAAATGAAATGCGATTTCTACACTGTAAATAGCGATCTACTAGGGTCTTCGACAGAGTTTTTCTTTTAAGCGTATACCTGCTGCGCCGTTAAGCATTGTGCAAGGAAGTTCGTGAGTGAAAAAACATAAACAACACACTCACATAAACAAGTAAGAAACATGTTCCACAATATTGTTATTTTTATTATAGCTTAAAATCTGTCAGCATTGGTCACATGAACAACTTCTGGTAATACATTTCAATCGCGTATAGTTTTCACGTCAATTCGTGTACCAGTATGATACCAATCAAAAATAACAATTATAGTTATATGCAATTTACCTATTCAAAACGTTCAACCATTATACATACATACAAAATGTATATTTTATATCTTGTGCATGACAGAAAAAGACCGAAAAAAGCTGAAAAGACAGAGCTCTACGAGTCCATGGCCCCCTTCAAATAACTCGCAACTGTGAAACATCAAACAATACAAAAGAACCAAAATTATAGCATTAATATTCACGAATTCAGCCAAAAACAAAGTTGCAAATCTATACAAAACGTTAGTACAAGTTGTGAACGTCTAATAAAAACCAAACACACTTCACACTCAACAGCATTCATAACATGCACTGTACAAAAATATAAAACAATCGATACAGTTCAGAGAAAACATATCAAAGTTATTAAGAAACATATACAAAAGTCTAACACATGTAAGGCATAAAATATTGAACAAGTTTTCCACACAAATATTATAGGTTCGTTCTAAAATATCGTGCTCGTAGCAAGTTAGACATTGTAAGCTACATCCACCCACTGATTCATTAAACCATTTTTAAGTTGACCCTCGTTTTGCACAAGCTTGTAGCCAAGTCGTGACATTACATCGGAACAAAATCTCTGCACCATGAAGACCTCGCTGATGTTCAACTTGCTCGTCCAACCAGCAATTGTCTTGGCCGACTCTCGCTTCGTTGAGTACGGGTTCCCAAGCTCGTTTTCTTTCGCACCCCCAGTGTGAGTTCTTATAAAATGCTTAACGTGAACTGAAAAGTTAAGGCCAAGACGCGCGTACAGGTCTCTGGCTTGGATGAAAGGGTTGGATGCAATGTCCTCATGACGTACTCGGACAACCTTGCCGGGGAAGTCCTGTTCAAGAGCCGCGAAGTTGTTCAAGTCCTCCCGTAACTGTTGGCAGAGTGCTTCTACGTTGGTACACTGAAAAGCTTGCACGCACCACGGGCGAGCTCTTCGGGAAACAAGAACTGCCCTCGGATCTCGGACAAGATGCACCACTCTCATGGTCTTGCTAATGTCCTCGTTGAGGTTCATCCATCGGTGAACTTGACGGATGCTCATAAAAGTAAGCTTCATTAAATGTAGCTTACTCTCGCGACAGATTGCGGACACAAACGACGGGTGGTGGCAGACGTCCACGATACCGCGACACATCTCCCACAGGTGCCCGTTGTGTTTGAAGAATGGCATCTTTAACGAGTGCTTCAGGTACTCGGTCTCGGGTTCGAAGTTGCACCGGAATAGGTTAGTCACGGTGCTTGAAGCCTTTTCGAAGCCTTCCCCGTATAGCCTAAGGCTCAGGGTGTACATGTGAAGCGGCTCGTAGTCATAGAATGTCGACGGGTTGGCGGAGAGTAAGTCTCCCAAAAAAGAAGAGCCAGAACGCACGTAGGTGACAACAAGGACTCGATTAACCGTTTCTTGGATGCCGTTTTCAAAACCCTTACCGAGCAAAGGCAAATGCCCGTTCAGGTCACCGCGGTCACCGTGTGGGAAAGATGAGACCGGCGTCGAGTCAGATGTCCCGTGTGTTGAGCAGTAAAGAATAAAAACTCCACCCAAGAAGAGCCATCCTAAAAACAATAATACTGTGATAGACTTGCGTGACCAAACTACGTAAACTACGCGTGACGTCACTTGGTTCATTTGGAGTCCTCGACCTGAAACAAAGTTAGAAAGAGCTCTTTTGAATATTCTATTTAAAATATTAGAAAGTAACGGTTGTGAATCCTAAAATTCTGTTTAAAACCACAGAAAACAAATCTAACAGTAAAAAAGTGTCTAAATTTCTTTCTACGTGATTTGCTTTATTTTGCAAAGGTTTGAACTGTACCGCGAACGACGAAAACACAAAACGCGAAAAAACAGTAGCTTCATTAGCGACGAATGTCTGCAAATTCAACCTTGTGCATTTAATACTCTTTCGTCCGTTTCACATTTCGGTGCTTCTCCGTGCCAGTTTTCGCTGTACATTTTAAAAGGCGGTAGCTTGTCCAAGTGTTCATTTTAAGCTGTTTTTTATTTATCTTCTGATAGCTCTCCGCTCCTCTCCTTCGCTTCTTTTCAGCTATGTCACTGCCCCCTCAACGGTAGCGAATAGAAACAATATATAGGTGTAGTGAATTGACATTTCAACGTATTTTGCAATTAGAATTTGCGGAATTGAAGAATCAGACTATAAGCATTCCTTTGTCATGAGGCGCCCTATGCAGTCAGACTGACAAATTTATTGTTTTATCGCACACCCTGACTGACATCAAGGTTTCTGTGTTGCTACTCTGGGTAGTTTACTTTACTAGTTGCCGTACACAAGACTTTATTAAAACTGCAGTTTCCGCGAGTTAATAAACCTACCACAAAGTTATAATCAAACTTAGTTAAACAAAGGATACACTGGGGCTGTAGCGTTCGTGGTCGATATGCCTTTTGAACTGAAACGTCTGCTCAGAATAAGTTTCAGGTCAATGAATTCTCACTTGTTTACTCTCGCGTCCTCTATATGGCTGTCATTTGTTTATGCACGAGGCAAGTGAAATTATTATATTAATCTCCAATATATAAACTGATTTAGATTTAGTTGTAGCAGATTTAATAAGCTACAGCTCCCTTCATATGTTTTATGGCTTCAAGGTAAGCAGAAACATTGCTTGCAAGCTTTGATACGCACAGTGCAAACATTAAATATTCTATAGCAATGTGGGACTGAATAAGGCGCCTCATGTGCCCGTCATGGCATATGAATGACGCAACTGTTGGCTCCATTTCTGTATGAGCACCAAATCTTAGGAGTAGCGGCTAGGTTTGTTTTACCACCAAATTTCCGCGAACAACGTCTGATTCTCACATCCAGAGTAACAACCTAGTAGGGAGAGAGCGGTGCATTTATTATATAGAAACAAGGTTGAAGGTGACTACACTCGACCCATAAGTTTTGCGCTGCGTCGTCAAGGCTAGCACACGTTCCGGAGCGCTATCGATGCTACTTGCCGGAATGCACGTGACGGAAATTTAACTCAAAGTCAGTGTTCGCGCTGCTGCGCGGGGTTGTTGTATAGTGACAAAATTAGACATCTTTGACGACCTAGCACTAATGTGGTGATACTGAGTATAAATATACATTTTGATGTACCTTTAAGTGTTCTAAGGCCATATACCTAGAACCAGGGATGGGCAAAATACATGCAAATATGTATCGAAATACAAATACAAAATACTTCGTCAAAAATGTATTTAATTACAAATCTAATTACATTTCCAAAAAAGCATTTAAATACAAGATACGAATACAACCAAATGTATTTGGTCTCCTCCAAATACTTTTCCAAATACATTCCTAAAAATTTGCGTCAGCGACCTCAGGGCACCTGCAACGGGTTTCTGCGTATCTCATTTTAATTTTGCATCGCACACTCGGGAGTCAGTGTGCGAGGCTTTAGTGACGTAATAGAAATATATTCACAAAAAAAAAAAATGTAATCAGCTTGGATGTAATCGGTGAAAAAAGTACACAGCTTCAAGCAGCTTTTTTTGCCGATTACATTTTGGTATAGACCAACAAAGAACCGAGACGACCAAGACGCGCAGCTCTAGCTTGAGAATTTTTTATTATTGCAACTCGCACCAGTTCTCAAGTTCTGAGCAGCGCCCATGGGGAGGAAACTCGGATACTTTTAGGTCGCGTTTACGGTATGCGTCGCATCGCGTCCTTTCAAACGCCCTTTTCGCGCCCGAGACGGGACGCTGACAAGACGCTTGTGAAAGCACGTGGATCGTGTACGGTGGGGACACCAGGACGCAGCTTCATGACAGCATTTAATGGTCGCGTCTTGCGGAATAAGGCGCCTCTTTTGTGGTTACGCCTCGAGGACGTTACAGCGCCCCCTGGCCAAGGAAAACAGGCCTATAGACAGTACTGAAATATAATAACCAGAACATTACGTAAGCGTTGAGCTGCTGAGGCTGTGACACAAGCCACGTAATAGCGTAGGTGCACTTATAAGTAGGAGCCTTATAAGTCTCATCGTTCAGCCGACCTGCAAGGTTCTTGAACAAAAGCAGGTCTGGCGACACCAAAGGTACAAAAACGTTTACGTGACTACTGCGAATGCTACTATTCCGCCGAAAAAAATTTTCGCCCTTGTCCCTCCGGCTGGCGTCGAAGCAGCGACCTTTCCTTCAGCAGCCCGTCGCGGTACCCCTCCGCCCTTCTGCGGATGACGCGGTACCCCATTAACGCATGACGCGGTACCACTCCGCCACGGGCGTAGGGGTACCGCATCATCTGTAAATCTTGTGTTTGTGCTGAAGGCATCGGCGCTTGGGCTTTCGCCTTCAAGTCGTCTTAGGGTTAACATAAGAGACCCTGTGGGTACTTTTTTTTCTTCGTGCGTCGTAATTTGTGTCGTTTTTCGTTCCAAGCGAAGATGTGGATGTGTGTTGTACGTAATAGCAACCAGAAATGAGCAAAACGTAAAAGAAAAGAACGCGACGTGACGAGGCTATATTTTCTGACGCCGGACGGCTCACGGGTAAAGATAAGCGAGACAGGTGATATGCGACGCAGAGCGCCGGTGGATAGACGGAAGCGAGACGCGAGCCTTGGTTTTCACTTCGTCTCTCGTGGATAACAGTGTTTACAGCTAATTTGAGGGGCAATATCTTATAAGGGTTGTATGTCCGGGTGTTGGGAAAATTGTCTCCGGGAGGCGAAGGTTCACAGTTCCTTTGGACGGGACAAGATGCGATAAGGCCATTGGATCAAGAGAAACACAAATAAATAAATATATATGTACGACGTTTCGAGCGGTCCCCGCTTAAAACGTCGTAATAAACTCCGTGTTAGTCACTCCGACAGTACGCATCTTTGACTTATTAACTTTTCCCGGTCCATTCCTCTACATTTACCCTCTTTACCTATATATATATATACATTCATGTCCCAATTACATCCCCCGAGAAAAATGGCCGCACTTAACGTCTTGATGTGCTCTTGGCTTCCCTTTTTATTATTTAGCAATGAAAGAAATTAGCAAAGATAGAATATACTTTATAAATGCGAATACCGCTAGTTGTTACTGAATCACGTAACATTGAGCATGAGTTTAAATATATATATATATATATATATATATATATATATATATATATATTATTTAGCAACCTTCCTGACGAAGACCGGACTCCGGCCGCAACGTCGAAGATTAAATCGTCCGTTGTTGCTGTTTTTCACTAAGGGTTTTTTTCTTCTCAGTTTTATATATATATATATATATATATCTCTTAGAAGAAGAGCCGCCATCATCAGTTGGACGTCACAAAAAATATAGTTAAACATATGCAATTCCTTAATTGTCATTTTATTCAAATTACATTTATTCTAAAAACTTCAAAAGTGTATACAGGAGACATTTTCTTTCCCATATTTAACCGACATGTCGGTATATGCCAGCGATCGCGATTACGAATTGGGTACCTTGAAATATGTTGGTTCAAAACAGACACTTTTACGAATTATGTAAGTTTGAAAAGATCGACTGTAAGTGCGCCGGCGAGCTGGTGGTAGCAAATTATGTCGATTAGCGCCTAAGGCTGTGTATGTTTTTTTTTATATTTTAAAATGCTTTAAGCAAAGGATATCTCTGCGCAGAAGGCGGTTGAGACTGGGTGTGTGGCTATATGGAATGCTTGAGAAATAAACCAGTTGGCAGTGTTTGAGACGTTCCCAACTGTAAATGTTCCTTCATCTAAGAGTTTTGTTCCTCTTCTACACCAAAGTATCCGGTGTCAAACGACATGATTAGTTAAAAGTGGTAAACAACTCAGTTCTAAGCGTTATTCGGAGTATATAAATATTCATGATGCAGATCCTTAATATATTAAACTCCCTGAACAGTTTATCAGTAGGCGCGCGAAAAGAAACATTTGCAATTGTGCGTAACATCACTTTTTATTAAGCAAGTGAGTATTTTCAAGAATTGTTGCGGCTGTGGTACCTCACACCAGACAAGAGTAATCTAAATCATGAAAGAGGGATTCATAAAATAATATTTTAGCTGATTTCGGAAGTATCTATCATATTTTAGATAGCAAGCCTACAACTTTTACCAACTTTTGTTGTTAGATACTCACTACGATAATCCCTTAACTAAACTTGTGAAAAGAGAAGTCCAAAAGTTTTAAAATAATAAACTATTTCAATATAAAACGTATTTAAATCAATGCAAGCTACTTAAATACTTGCTTTTAGAGCGCAGCTCTTAAGGCCCGTTCACACTCTTGCGACCTCTTAAACCTAGGTTTCTTAAAACTTCTTATACCAGAAAACACCCTGGCGCCATCTATTGGGAAGCAGTGTAAACTCGGCCGGTCCGGCATATTTCTTTTATTTCTCGCGCATTATCCTTTCTTTCTTGGCTCGAAAAACTTTTGTCAATGTTATAAACGAGCCTTTCTATGGGTATTACACGCATTTGACCTCGCAAATCCCGCAAAACCTTCGCTCCTGTGAAATGCAGTACCGGAGTCACCGCATAGATGGCGCCACAATGCCAGTGTGTTCCCTCATTCTAAAAACATTTAAGAAGTTTTAAGAGATCTCGTCTCTCTCAGTCGTACTCGGTCGCAAGAGTGTGAACGGGCCTTTAGGCGCCCGTTTCCGGCT